GTGGATAATTGAGAAAGTACATGTTAAGCTGGACCAGTATTCTTATTTTTTGTTCTTTCTGTGTTTGTTCTTCAGTTACATTCTAATTTAATAAATATCGGAGAACAGTTACATATCAATATATCATCATTTTTTATTGTTGAGCAGATCCGGAAAAGAGGGATGATGAGCTTTTGCAAAGCTTCCATCTCTTGGCTCAGAAAAAAAAGTGAACATGACTGAGTCAACTTTTGAAAGAAATTGTTCTTACACAACTCTAGAAACAATATTAGAACTGAAATATGAACATTCAATATTTTTCACTTTATAGAGTGAAAGCAAAGTACACAGATGTCCCATTTGTTACATATTTTATTTACATATTTTATTTTCGTACTAGTTTTGTAGTAACTTCGTAACTTTACAGAAACTCCTTTTTACCTCAGTAGAAATCTATTTGTTTGTCTACCATGACGTCAATGACTAACTTATGTCTCAAGGGAAAACAAAGGGAGTGGCTCTTATCCTGAGGCAAGAAACTGTAAGGTTGACAGTTGAGAAACTTGTGAATCCTGTGACGTAACACTCTTCATCATCAAGATCTCACAACCTCGTCTATCATTTCTCACATACGTCATTAGCCCTCACGCTTCTGAAATATATAAGGCCACGAGAGGTGTGAACATATGATTAAAAGAGTTGAAGAGCAAAGAGTTGTGAATTGCACTGTTGTGAGACAAAAAAAATTGGAAACCATCTACAGAAGACAAAAAGGACAATTGATACATTTTTCATCTGATCTCAATTTTGGTAAGTGCAATGAAATATAAATTTTATTTAATGTTAATATGACTATTTTGTATTTTAGCTTGTTAAACAAAGTAATTATTTTATCTATATTATTTTAAAATTCAGATTCATATTTTTTCATTAAGATGTATAATGATGAGTACAGTAAATAAGTCTTGCATTTTTGTGAAATTCTGTTTTACTTTTTAAGTAGTGTTTTGGGGTTTTAATTTTTTTTAATACATATACACTTGCCATCTGTGTCTTTTACAGATTTAACTGATTAAACAATGGGTGTTGGACTGATAATATCAACGTTCTTGTTTCTAACAGGTGAGCTAAGTGGTGCTAAACTTACTGTTGATAAAGGAATTATGAACTGCTTTATCATAGCAAAGTATACATCATAAATAATTGCTACAGACAATACGTAGACTGCATTAAAGTTGAATGTTATAGTACTTTTTATGGTTAGGCACTTGAGTACAATTAATCTAGGTAAGCTCTACCTAGTAAGATGTCTTCAAAAAATGGGTTTAGTAAAAATTTGAGTTTGGTATAGCTGAGATGAGGACGATTTACATGACTTTTGACATTTTTTCTTTAAAGAAAAAAAATGTAGTTTCTCTCTGAATCTTTCTCTCTTGGCTGTGAAGCATGTGATTACACAGGTCTGCAACTGCATAAGATTTTAGAGTGTTTCTTATAGATTTTGACTCATTGAAACTGGGAAAAATGTTTTAAAAATTCCATCTCATCAGGTTTTCTTGCAAATCTCATGTTTTTAGTTTAAATGTACAATTTCCCTTTTTAGACTGAAATCTGGTATCCTGTACTTTAGTCAAACAACCATATCCAATGATGTCTTACATTAATTTAATATTTGTAAGAGCGAGACTCAAGATAAATATTTCTCATAATAAATCTCACAGCACACATGGGGCATTCCATTTAAAATCATTCAGTTCTGAAAAAGGTTAAAAGGTCATATCATAATCAGCTTTTATACAGCCTTAACATATTCAAAGAAACAATGCAAAAATGACCTTTGAAATTATTGGATTTACCAGAACTTGAAATGACAAGATTAGGCTGGAATTTTGCGCTTGTTAATAAATGATATTCTTGTCCAATATTTGAGCCCTTACAACAAGAACTAGATTGCAAATATTTATAACATGAGAAAAAATATCATTGTCAGTGTCAAAAATGATTATATTAGAACATTATTTGACACAGAAGGATTAACAGGTAAAGACTGACCTCTATCACAATATGAATAGAAGTGAGACCTTTCAAGTGCTATAATTCATTTTTGCCAGCCATGTATGTCACATGGGGATATGATCCTTAAAAATTTACCCAAACTTCACTTTATTAAGCTTTCCTCAGTGAATTATCATAAAATTTATTTTCTTCTTTATGAATCTTTTTTTAATCTGCTGCATATAAAACAACCACTCAAAAAAAAGGGAACAAACATTGAAAAATTGAGCTAAAAAGCAAGAAAAAAAAGACAGCAAGCTTAAATACTGGCTAATCATGCCATTTCAGACACACATGAGTAGCAAACAATTACATATAAAAGACAGACTCAAAGGACAAACACAGTGGTTTAGAAGAATTACTCCAGTTACCCCACGATTTAGAAATCATCTGTGTACACCAGTCAGCTCTTTTTATGATTACAAAGGTTGCATCGCAAGACACAAGTTTTGCTTTTCATGATAGCAGAACTAAGTCACCTCCCAGTACTGATAAACAAGAAAAAGCAGTGAATTAATTTTATTAAATATATCAGTGAATGCAATATCTTTTAACGAAACCTAAATGATTATAAGCACGTATGGGGGAAAAAAAGATAATTTGGGGGAGATTACTTTAGATTGATTGCAATTTATATCAAAAACATAAAAAGCTGAAAAAATTGGGTAAACTGTTGAAGCATTGGATTGAAGACACTGAACTTGTTTTAAGGTAGAGATGGACGGTAGAGATTCATGTGGTTTATGTTTGTCATAACAACATCATATTAATGTCATAACAACATCACCAGCTACAACAACCACTACAGCAGCTACAACTGCTACCACGCCAGTTACAACATCGACAACATCAGCTCCAACGACTACCACAGCTGCTG